TGACGAACGGAGTGCATCAAACTTTGATGCATGATATGTTCTGTACGTAGTATATAAATAAATATGGGGTAATGGGGGTAGCTAAGACGATTTTAGGGAGGAAAAGCCATAAATACGATATCTGATCTATGATGTTTGAATATGGGTTCAGCTGAAAGTATTCCTTATTTTAGTGGAAGGATACCTCCTTTTTAACCTCTAGCTAGTACGAGTAGCACCTGAATTTTATGTTACTCGGTTCTCCTTATAAGCTACTGTATAATAGTCATGTAATTATATAAAATGAATTTGTAATATATAATTAAAACATATGTTCTTGTAAAAAAAATAAAATAAAAAAAAATAAATAAATCCTATGATGCTTGTATTATCCACACATGCCAATTATTAACACTCAATAATATCCCCTAGGTTTTTATAAAAAGAACATTCAATATCAATTTTTTCCAAATAACGGGATATTCTTTATTTCTCATAATGAGAAACAAATTTTGTTCACATTTTCGTAAATAAATTAATAACTTTTTTTTTTTTAATTATTGTGGGCTCTAAAATTGAATAAAGTTGTTGGTTTATTTACGAAAATGCCATGTGAGAAACAAAATTTGTTTCTCACGATGAGAAACTAGGGCATCTTCCCAAACAATATATATATATATATATATGTGTGTGTGTGTGTGTGTGTGTCCTACTCCTCCTATTGTTGGAGAGTAACACTTTATAAGGTTAAGTGGATACGGGGGTACAATAAAAAACCCAGACTGAAAAGGGACTTGAATCGGACCAGACCATTAAATTCAAGTCTGTTGTTGGTCTGTGCAAACAGGTTCAAGTCCGGTCCAACCCGGCCGGTTCACCCCTAACTAGCTCCCCTAGGGGTTTACATAAAACATTCGGATCGGCGGATTCGAGTCCACTGCCAGTACGTCCGCGTAAATCGGTCTTACCCGGTTCATTCAGGTACATTCGGCAGTGGTCCGGATCCGGACCGGTGTACACCCCTATAAACAACTACTCCTCCTATTGTCATATGATTTTAGGATGGAATCACTTTGGATTAGTGAAATAATCTGTAGAAAACAATAATAGAGGATATAAAAATTAAATAGCGTGATCAATTCTAGAACCTTTCCCTAGGACATCACCTTTCTATTTTATAATTGGACATTATCCCATTTAATCTGTTACTTTTCCATCTTCTTGGTCTTTAAAATGGTGCTTTCGTGTGCACCAAAAGTTTTCTTTGTTGAAATGAAAATGAAATGTTATTTTCAAATTTATGTTATTATACTTGTATATTTATTGGAGAATAATGTACGTTAGTTCCAAAATGACTTGTATAATATACGTTATTTTTTGTTCATCATTATTCCCTTGAGTTGCTTAATGTTCTTATTCAATTTGGAACTTATTATAACTCCATATTAATTTTTCTCCAAAGTATCAATTTTTATGTACCTTCAAACCATGAAAAGTGATAGTACTTCGTATATATTAAGTTAAAGCACATAAAAGTAAAACTTAAACAGATGAAGAGGATATGAATGGGAAAATATAGTTGAATAAGTAAGAATATTCAAAAACAGGACTCAATAAAAATTGTAACACAACATGGACACACAACTCAAAAGTTATAGAAGCATTCAAAGATATATGGTATCAACGGATGGGTCATCCCTCAGATATAGTATTGAAGATGATTCCGACTGTGAGTAGTTCCTCTAGGAGAAATAGTAATAAAGTATGTGATGTTTGTCCTCGTGCTAAACAATCTAGATGTAGCTTTCCTATTAGTGAAAGTAAAGCAAGTCGTATTTTCCAACTTGTTCATATTGATTTGTGGGGGTCATATAAAATTCCTTCATCTTATGGAGCACATTATTTTTTAACTATAGTTGATGATTTCTCTAGAGGAGTTTGGATTTATCTATTGAAAAATAAAACTGAGTTGAAAATATGTTCTTAAATTTTGTTGTTATGATTAAACGACAATTTAATCAAGTAATTAAAATTGTTAGAAGTGATAATGGAACGGAGTTTAATTCCTTGCGAGATTATTTTGTTAAACATGGCATGAGTTTTGAGACTTCGTGTGTGGGAACACCACAACAAAATGGGAGAGTCGAAAGGAAACATCAACACATATTAAATGTGGCGAGGGCATTAAGATTCCAAGGGAATTTGCCATTGAAATTTTGGGGGGATGTGTTTTATCGGCTTGCCATTTGATTAATAGAACCCCGACACCGTTGCTTGGAAATAAGACACCGTTTGAAATTTTGTTTAATAAACTTCCATCATATGATTATATTCGTGTCATTGGTCGTTTGTGTTATGCTCATAACCAAAGAAGTAAGGGAGATAAATTTACTAGTCGGAGTAGGAAGTGTGTGTTCTTGGGATATCCATTTGGGAAGAAAGGGTGGAGTGTTTTTGATTTGGAAACCGAAGAAATTTTTGTGTCCCGAGATGTAAAATTTAGTGAGCACATTTTTCCATTTATTTCTCCGGTGAATGTCGAGCCTACTACAGAAAATCAGGTGCCCATGGTGGAGGGTTATGGTAGTGATGACGAGTGGTTATTGCTTGGTGACACAGACCAAGCAGGAGACTCCGCAACCAGGCTGCGGCAGAAGGCCAGAAACCGCAACCTGGCTGCGGAAGAGGCTGGCAGCATCACTGTCCCTGCTGTCCAGCCCGATGGGGAACCAGCGGCAGCTGGCGTGTCCTCCCAGCAGCAGCCCGAGACTGCCCAGAAGCAGCCCGAGACTGCCCAGCAGCAGCTCGAGTCTGCAATGCCCCATTTGCAGCAGTGTAGTGAGGGTGGAACGAGCAGCCAGCAGCATGGTAAACAAGGGGGAAGTACAGAGGAAATGGGAAAAGGAAAAAGGCCAAAAATTCCGAGCAGAAAATTAAGAGATTATGTGACACACACAATTCGGAAAAACAGTCCATCAAAGAACGTCACACCTACATCATCCAACTCAGGCACTCCTTATCCTCTCACATATTTTGTTGATTGCTCACGTTTTTCAGAAAAACATAAAAAGTACATTGCAGCGATAACAGCAAGTCATGAGCCTAAAAATTTTAAAGAAGCTATAAAGCATGCAGGATGGAGAGATGCAATGGCTGCAGAGATTAAAGCTTTATAAGAACAAGGCACGTGGGTACTTGAGAAGCTTCCACCAGCTAGGGAAGAAAGCTCTTGGAAGCAAATGGGTGTATACGGAGAAGCGAGATGAGCATGGCAATTTGCTGAGATTGAAAGCGAGATTGGTAATCCTGGGAAATCATCAAGTTGAAGGTTTGGATTACAATGAAACTTTTGCTCCGGTAGCTAAAAGGACGACAGTTCCGACATTTCTTGCAGTTGCGGCAGTGAAAAATTGGGAAGTGCATCAGATGGAAGTACATAATGCATTTTTGCATGGAGATCTTGATGAAGAAATTTATATGAAAATTCCTCCTGGTTTTAATAACGATAACTCTGATTATGTGTGCAGAATGAAGAAGTCGTTATATGGATCAAAGCAAGCTCCTAGATGTTGGTTTGCGAAGTTGACGACAGCATTGAAGAAATATGGATTTAAGCGGTCCTATTCAAATTATTCTTTGTTCACTCTTACCAAAGAAAAATTGCAATTGAATGTGTTAATCTATGTTGATGATTTGATCATTGCAGGAAATGATAAAATTGCATTGACAAAGTTTAAAGCATATTTAGGAGATTGCTTTAAGATGAAAGATTTGGGAGTATTGAAATACTTCCTCGGGCTTGAGGTGGCTCGAAACAAGCAGGGATTTTATATTTGTCAACGGAAATATTCTCTTGATATTATTTTTGAAACTGGATTATTAGGTGCGAAACCAGCAGATTTCCCGATGAAACAAAATCATAAATTGGCCTTAGCAGAAGGCCGATTGTTGGAGGATGTGGAGAAATATAGGCGGCTTATTGGGCGCCTAATATACTGGTCTGTGACTAGACCAGATCTTGTATATCCTGTTCATATATTGTCCCAGTTTATACAGAGTCCGAGAGAAGAACATTGGGAGGCCGCACTTCGTGTGGTTCGATACTTGAAGAAGAATCCGGGTCAAGGAATACTTCTTCGTTCAGACAGTGAGTTGCAGATTGAGGGTTGGTGTGATTCGGATTGGGCTAGTTGCCCTTTGAAGAAGAGATCGTTGACTGGTTGGTTTGTGTTGCTTGGTTTTTCCCCCGTGTCTTGGAAAACCAAGAAACAACCTACGGTGTCCCTATCTTCGACAGAGGCGGAGTATAGGTCGATGGCTGCGGTAACTTGTGAACTGAAGTGGTTAAAACGAGTTCTTGGTGAGTTGGGTGTGCGTCATCCACAGGGTATGAACTTATATTGTGATAATCAGTTGGCGCTATACATTGCTCAAAATCCGGTGTTTCATGAGAGAACGAAGCATATAGAGGCCGACATGCATTTTGTGCGTGATGCGATCACAGAAGGACTGATTTCACCTTCGTATGTGCCTACGAAGGTGCAGCTAGCTGACATTTTTACGAAAGCTTTGGGGAAGGCTTAATTTGAGTATTTGCTTGGCAAGTAGGGCATTCGAAATCTTCATGCGTGCTCCAGCTTGAGGGGGGATGTTAAGATAGGAAAGTATCTTATATGATAATATTTTAGGGAAGATTGTGATATTGTGTGAATATTTATCTTGTTAGGTAGATTATTCCCCAAGCTATTACCTTGTATAAATATTGGTGAATGATGAATGAGAAGGTGAAGCCTTTGTGATTAATTTGACATCTTATCACTATACCAAAAATATTAATGGTTGAATTTATTAATTGCAATATTGCTCCCCTTTTATGGGTATGCCCACCAAGTTGGCATTGCCATAGTCCATTCAATTTCAAGACATAAAAATGATGCAAAAATGATAATCTCCTAATTTAGCAAAACAAAGGCATGGAGTTAAAGGAGAAAACTTGAGGAAATTAGGGGTTGGGTAAAGAATACTCCAAAAAGGCAGATGCATTCTTTGCTCTAATTTCATGCAAAGGAGATAATAATAAGAAAAACAAAATTACATCTTTTAGCCCTTCTCTATTATTCATTTTAGATCTTCTTCATGAAGAGCAAAAACAACTATAACTATTGCTAGGGGCACTGGGGCTGGTGGTGTAACTCATTGCTTCACGTCGATGGTTGGGATGGAAGACCCTGCCGGTAACAGAAAAGGCGATGGGCGACGACTTATGGTGGTTGCAGACCCTACTAGAGAGTCAGCAGGTTAGTAGCTAGCATGCATATCCACATTGTCCATATAATTTCTCAAATACAAAACACTCAAAAAAAAAAAAAAAAAAAAACCTTTTTCAAATGATTGCAATACAAATTTTAGAAATTTACTTGTTAATTGAAAACAATTTTGTACACATTGTAATTTGTACGTAGTATATAGGTTTTTTTTTTTTATTTTATTTTTTTTTTATTTTTTTATTTTTCATGTGAGAACCATGCGTCCTTATTATGATTTATGAAGACCACATGTCCACATGAAGTACATATTCTACAAATGTTTGAGCTAAAACTAGATTAATAACTTAATTAAATAGATTAATTCTACGTTTTTACCTCATTTTGTCAACTAACGAAAATGTTGATGATATTATTACCATAAATTGTAAATTAGAACCGGATGTTACTCAGGGTCAAATTTGATCAAATTAAAAAACAAAAAAATTTCTTGGTAGTTTTCTGAAAAATTGTTAGTGTTATACATCTGCCTTTGTTCTTTTCTACTTGTCCCATTTGGAGTTTTAATGAGCTTCCAATGTATAACTTTAACAATATATATTTTTAATTATATATACTACCTCCGTTACATATTATTTGCATCGCTTCTACATAAATTAGAGAGGAAAAATGTCTAATCGTTACAAATAATATGAAACAGAGGTAGTATGTTTTTTAAAAGACAATTGTTTAAAAGTACATATTGAGACAAAAGTAACAAAGATCCTGCGACCTGTGTGATTATAAATTTATAATAGTGTGAAATTGTGATGAATAGTGTCTAAAACGTTTATTAGAACTGAAATCTCTAAAAATGCAATTTGTGAATCCTGTATTGCAACAGCTGCTCTACAATACGCTCTTGGACATGCAATAATTGAGAAGGATGAATTGATTTTAATACATGTAACTAGCCCTTGTCCTAGGAAGGGTACGTTTAGCTCACATTTGAGCACCTTCTTCCGAAAACACCAGTTTGAACTCTCTAACGCCAATACAAATGATCCTACTAAAGGTGGTGGCGGTGTTGCTGGTGGCATACTTGGTAATAGTGCCATTAGTGGCATTTTTGGAGGTAGTGGAGGCGGCATTTTTGGTGGGAGTTGGGCTAGTGACGGCAATGGAGGTGGGAAGGATGAAGATTTTTTAAAGGCCATGAAGAGAGCATGTGAGACAGCCTACCCTAAAATGAAAGTTCGAGTTGAAAAGGTGGAGCAAGGATGCATGGACAAGGCTACTACAATTTTATCACAGAGCAAGTTGTTAGAGATTGAGCTTCTTATTGTTGGACAACGTCAAAATCTTCCCAACATTTTCTTAGGGTAAGTTTTTATATGATTAGATACTAGTATATACAACCTTAGGATTGTAAATAAATATTTGGTAAATTTTCTAATATGGTAGTAACTTTAACTTCCATTTTAAGCTCCTTATTAAAACACATAGCATTTTAAATGTAAAATGTTTATAACATACTCCTTGTTCTTAAACTGATGTTGTTTTATGGAATTATACCTTGGTTATATAACAGAGCTAGGAAAAATGGAGGACAATTGCTAGGAGGGTCAAAGGTAGTAGACACAGCAGAGTTTCTGATAGAAAACAGCTTATGTACCTGTGTTGGAGTTCAGAAGAAGAGCCAAAATGCAGGTTATCTTCTCAATACCAGAACCCACAAAAACTTTTGGCTGCTAGCATAAAAAAACAGGATTCAGCAAATTACTGGTAGCCTCCAAAAAACAGTCCAGACCACAAGACACTTGCGCTCTATCTGAGAAATTTACATATTTGCAGATACTCGCAGCATTTTGTTACAATGTCAATGAATCAAATGAAGATACAGTAGGTGTCACGTTTTGCAGAACATAGCAAATCCAATTCCATATCATGCTTTTGTTAATGGTTTAATATCTTCATTAGTATGTACATGGAATACTAATCAAACTTTAATTTAAAATCTCCTGTCTCACAAGACAAGAGTCGGCATGTAAATTCAATACTGTAATGAGAACCACCACACCAACAAAGTATATATATAGTTTTTAAATTCCAGATAGCTCAATAGGAATGGCGAAGAAAGTAAAGGGAAGAAAGAGCTTGTATACCAGTCCATAATGACATAATGTCGCGGCTCTGCATCATGGAAAGTAGTGTTAGAGGACCAATTCAACCAAAAGCTTAAGCTGATGGTTGAGGCCCAAGAATATGTTTTATACTCTATCACTCCCCCTCACATGAAAGGCCCTTTGGGCTTGAAATGTGGATGCAACACAGGCCCACCCATACCTGGTGCGGATTAATTCCACTTTGAAGGAGGGGCGGATGAGATTCGAACCTGTGACCTTTGTGTCACGCTGGTTCCGATACCATGTTAGAGGACCAATTCAACCAAAAGCTTAAGCTGATGGTTGAGGCCCAAGAATATGTTTTATACTCTATCACTCCCCCTCACATGAAAGCCCGTTTGGGCTCTGATACCATGTTAGAGGACCAATTCAACCAAAAGCTTAAGCTGATGGTTGAGGCCAAGAATATGTTTTATACTCTATCAAGTAGGTTATGTAATCAACAATAACCAATGACCTTTGTATTCACTTTCTGCTTTCTTCATTGTTCCAGTGATCCAGTCGATTCCTCTACAGGTTAAAATAGACATAATTAGCCTCATTAGAAACTTGTCATTATCCTCGTTATCCTAGTCTAGCATGCATTTCACAGCCCTTTTTGATCACATAAAGAAAATCAAATTGCCATCTGCCAACAAAATTCATGGGATTTTCCATTGTTTAATTCAGCAGTAAACCAAAGTACTGCAAAACTAGTTGGTAGTAGATCAGCAAACTAGTTATCATATATTGCACACATAACACACGTCAAATAGATAAATTAAAATATAATACTTGTGTACGAAATGTATGGCACATATGTGATGTCTTACAAATAACATTGCTACGCATATAAAGAAAATGAACTACAATAGTCCTTTTGTGCAAATGTAGCAATGTGCATGGCTTGGATGACCAACCTACTCATGTAAAATAATACATATAAATACAGTTTACAAACACTTTAAAAAAATTAAATGTTGTTAGAACGCCAAGATCATGACATATATCCTATACAGATCACATATGGTAGATATATAGCATTGTGAGAAGCCATCATTAAGAGGTGCAAGTAACATAACAGGGAAGAAGCACAGACAGAAGATGCCGGAATATTGCGTAACTGGAGGCACAGGGTTAATAGCAGAAAACCTAGTAAAGTCGCTGCTTGAAAAGGGACACACTGTACGTGCCACTGTCAGAAATCCAGGTTCATAACTCACATATATCTCTGTGCATAATATGCTAAATTTATTCTAGAAGCAGTATGTTATCTTACAGAATTTTGCTTACCAAATTTTCAATTAAGTTGGCTTATTTTAAATGAAACAGAAAATGAAGAGAAGGTAGGATTTTTATGGGAAATGAAGGGAGCAAAAGAAAACCTCAAAATCATGAAAGCAGATTTGATGGAGGAAGGAAGCTTTGATGAAGCTATCCAAGGTGTTGATGGTGTTTTTCATGCTGCTGCTCCTGTGCTTGTGCGATATGATGAAAATGTCCAAGTATTAATCGATCTATAACTCTCTCGAATTAAATTTGGTCATCAATCGATCTATAATTCAGTAAATCTACTTCTAAATACACATTTGATTAAGCAGTCTAATGAAAGATAACTCATGGCATGGTAAGGATGTAGAAACTTGCCTATTAAAAATGATAATCAAGTATATTGATTCCTTGATTTAACAATGACTCTAATGTCCACTCAAATGTAGATTATTTGTAATTAATTTGATAAAAGGGCACAAAAATCTACTTAAGGGAACTATAAAAGGTAATGAATGAGCTACAAGGCTTTTTCGATGTAATCTATATCCCACGATTCACTTTTTGGGTATCATAAGACAGATGTATGCACTTAATATTAAACAAAGTAGGTTTGCATAAACTATTTCCGAATCAAATTACAAAAGGGGTGAACATATTGCTAAGATCAACAAATAAACTTCAATTTTGCACATATGATACAAAAAAGTGAGAGAGAGAATATCAATCTGTAATGTAAGAGTGAGTGAGCAGCATTACTTTACCAAAAGTTTATAAAGGAGCATAATTTTCTTTAAAAGTTTCTTCTTAGTAATTTAACAAGATAATATATTGTACGTAGTACAAAAGTTCATCGTGACAATTGACAGCAACCCGGCCTTGCAGGAAAATCTGATTGAACCCAGTATAAATGGAACCTTGAATGTCCTAAGATCATGCATAAAGGCAACTACTGTAAAAAGGGTTGTATTTACCTCTTCCTGTTCTGCAATAAGATACTGCGAAGACATCCAGCATGTTTCTCCTCTTAATGAGTCTCACTGGAGTGATTCCGACTACTGCAAGAAACATAATGTAAGTAGCATATCCCTTCTTTCAGGTTGGTAATCTGCCATGAACAAAAGAAATATTACCTTATGCATACCAGATCAAAATTTTCGTAATGACTGACCATTCAAATTTTGTTGCTCCTTCATAAGCTTTGGTATGCATATGCAAAGACATTAGCTGAGCAGTCAGCATGGAAGATTGCAAAAGAAAATGGCCTTGATTTGGTAGTAGTGAACCCATCATTTGTGATTGGTCCCTTGCTTGGACCGCAACCTACTAGCACACTGCTGCTATTGCTTGGGATCATTAAAGGTAGATCTTGCAGCCTGTTTTTAGACATACTCGTACACACTGTGAGATATGTAACCTAGCTGTTTCTATTATGGAAATAAACATGTCAGTTTTGCAGGTGCAATAGGTGAATATCCAAACCAGGAAATAGGGTTTGTGCACATTGATGATGTGGTAGCAGCACACATCCTGGCCATGGAAGAAAGCAAGGCATCTGGGAGGCTGATTTGCTCAAGCGCAGTAGCTCACTGGTCACAAATCATAGACATGCTGAAAGCTAAATATCAAAGCTATCCATATGAAAAGAAGTGAGCACATAAAAAGCACTAGTACTAACTGGTTTACATAGCTAGGAATGTTGCAGTTTACAGATTCTGGTGTTGTTGCAGGTGTGGACCTCAGAAAGTAGATGACAAGCCTCATAGCATGGATACTAGCAAGATTGAACAACTGGGATTTCCTGGCTTTAAAACCATTCCTCAAATGTTTGATGACTGCATCAAAAGCTTCCAAGATAAGGGCTTTCTTTAATGCTCTTAATCTGTCTTCGCCATTTCAGTAAAGAATTTACAGTCAGTCAGTACAAGTATAATAGAATCTTAACTATTTGAATTACAAAAAATTGCTTTTATTCTTCTGATCATACGAAGATGATTCACATTGTACTACGATTACAGAGACGTACTATTCCTTGATGTCAGAATGTCTCTTTACAAGAATATTTGAAATTCACATACCAGATCTCATCATACACCGTTATGAAAACAAAATTGCATTCTCATTTCAGAAAATGTCGATGTCAGATTAATTGCTTCATACCAAAATACAATACAAACTGCTTCATAGTTCTTCTATAAAGAGGATGACATAATTAGGAGACAGATTACCAGAGATACTAACTATGCATACCCAAATATATAATTATGTGGTTCATAATATACATACACTCTGTACTCCTATTTTTATTCCCCATTGATTAGCTAGCTCAACCCACAAACTTGACCTACTTTTAGCAACAGCCATTCCTATCTCTCAGTGATGTGTGCATAAAATTGAGGAACACGGGGAAGAAGGGACACTGAGAGCAAGCTGTGGCATGCGGGGAACTAGCAGAGGGAATCTGTAACCTAAATATCCAGTGTTTGGTATGAAGACAGAGAAAATTGCTTAAATTGCTTCCTGGATTTAGCTCATGCTGGCTTCATGATTACCAGAAGTTGCACATTTCTCAGCATTGCTCAATCTCATCTTCAGGACCTGCTTGGGCAAATGGGAATGCAAAGACGGATCATAGGTAGGACTTTTCAAAGGACGGTACTCAGGAAATAACCTACCAGCTCTGTATTGCACACCACATGCATTGCAAAGTGTATGTCGTCCCATAGGCCCCTCCCTCCATTGTGGGGTATCCTTTGATTCACAGTGTAGGCACTTCTTGCCCGCATGTTTCGGTAGTTTACGTTTCAGACTCAGATAAGAGTCAGAGTTTTGGTTCCTTTCTCTAGAATCTGACTGAATCTCATTGCTAACCTTCTCTTTCAATTTCTCAAATTTCTTGGCTCTATGAGCACGGTTCTTGTCCCTCTTATTGTTACCCAAGACCCACTCCTCGTCAGAATCAGATTCAAGCGAAGGGCGTTGAGATTTGGTTTTAGGAGTAGTAATTTGATCCCTCCCACTGGTGTGACTTATTCTTATCTCCTCAACTTCCTTTGGTTTGGGAGTCAGGTTTTGACCCTTCTCAATTGTGTAAACCACCCTCCTCTCTTCAATTTTTTTAGATTTAGGAGTAGGGTTTGGACCTTGTTCACTTGAGCTACCCATTCTCATTTCCTGGACTTTCTTGGGCAGATGAAAATGTATAGAAGGATCAAATCCTGGACTCTTTAAAGGGCGGTAATCAGGAAAAAGCCTACCATGTTTATACTGAACTCCACATGCATTGCATAGAGTTTTTCGTCCCCTCGGCCCTGTCCTCCATTGCGGGGTGTCCGTTGTTTTGCAGTGCATGCATTTCTTCAATGCTGGGTCAGAATCTGAATCAAGTATATCACTAATTTTCCTAGTCCGCATCTGCTTGGATGGAATATACTCTTCGGTTTCATCTGATAGAGAAGACTCCATTGAGTACTCTGACTCAGATTGGCACGTTGAATTCTGTTGTCTGGTATAAATAGTGCTGCCAAAAAACTGAAGGCCTCCTGGAATGTTGTTCTTAGTGGGGCATTGGCTTTGGGCACGCATTGCTGACATGACATCAGTGTATGGCCTCTCTGTTTGGAAAACTGAAATTGGACTGGACGTCTGAGAATTTTTCTGAGAGGAATTGTTCAAGGAGGTAGAAGTTTCTTTCACATATGCCATGCCTCCTTCACAGACAGCTTTGTCAACATATTCTAATGGCTGCTTCACATCAACAATGGTTTCATCCTGAGATAGAAAAAAAAAAAAGAGGGAGAAAACACATCACAAAACTTTACCACTGGAAACTTTCAACTAATCAAAACATGTTGAATAACAAAGAATGGACCAAATCTGATCATTATGTTTAGTAAACTGAGAAAGCGGGACATGAAACAAATAGATATAAAGCTAAACAACCAAGTTTTAAGCCAAAGATAACAATCGCTGAATTTAACAAAAATAGGAAGAAGAAAACTTCATTTGATTATAAGTTTTGGCAGATGTCAAGAGCAAAAGTTATGATGACTGCTGCTATTACAATGGAAAACTACTCCATCACCGTAACTGCTTAAATGAATTTTCTTTTTGAAATTCCTCAACTCCTGCCACTCAATTGATGTAACAAACAGCTTCAGGTAAATATTTATTCAATCCCATATTTATATTACTAAGTTGTTTTTATAGGGGTTCCGTATACATATTCTCTGTATCACAAAAAAAAAAAAAAAAAAAAAAAAAAAAAAAAAAAAAAAAAAAAACCAAACTAATGTGACAACTCATAGTGCATCAATACGTGAATGAAGACAAGGTGTACATGAATGCAGAATAAACCTTTTAAAGTCACCTTTGTGATTGTATCTGTTTGGTGGTTGCTAAGAGCTAGTTGCCTTGGCTGGTTTGACTAGTTGGTTGCATTAGATTTGGTGAAAGTAGCTAGTAACTAGTAGTTTTGTTACTTGGTGTTACTTGAATAAGTGAAATGACAAATAAGTTCTAGAATAGGGAAATAAATTATCCAGGGATGTAACTTTTAGTAACTTCACGACAAAATGGAGGTCATTTAGCTTAAATTTCACAGCCAGCTAACTTGGAAAGCTCATTTAACTTTTTAAAAATTGAAGAAATTAAAGGCTCAAGTAATTTACCAAAAAGCCAAAATGTAGACTTATGTAATTAATCCTCTATAATGTCAAATCAACTCATCTTTGTAAAACTCTCTTTACCAGACAACACCAATGGAGTGCATACTCAGATCTTGCTACTCTACTAGGATATTTAATAAAATAAATTAATTACAAAGGTTCTAGGAAATAAATTGACCATGAAAGAAGGTATATATGGCATATATATTTAGGTGGAAGTAGAAAAGATGAAGAAGTTGGTTAATCTGACATTAAACTAACCACCCTCCAAATCTTACTACTCTATCAACTACCGGGAACAAATAAAGCAAGAAATATACTGCTTCTTTTCAATAGTAGTAGTTGGTCATCCAAAATGATCCTTAGTCCCCAATCCACCTCTCATATGGCAATAAGTAACTTCACAAGTATGCAACCCTACTGCAACACAATTCCACAGACTTTCCCACTGCTCTTCATAAATAAAGACTCCATGATACTTCTCTTTAATCCCGGGAATTAATTTCATGTTTTCTTTCACTAGATTCGACACGATCCAAACATTCCTTACGTTATCTGGATTTGGACTAAAGATATAAGATACTAGCCAATGTCATCAAACAGACATATTGTGCTTACTGCTTAGGTTCCTTTCAACACATTCTTCCAAGTTCCAATGATTGAACATGGCTCAAATATCCACACTATCACTATAAAACCTTCAATTTATCGCGCAACATGTTTTAATGCTTAACACTTTTTTTGAAAGAAAATGCTTAAAACTTGATCAATCACTACTCACTAGAATCAGAAACTTAACTTAATCAACATCAAAATACACATAAGTTCATTATCTATATGTATACAAAAATGTCATTATTAGATTCATTACTATCAACATGTAAGCAGCAGAACTGATTCAAAAGTTTCACTGACCAGAATTTTTTATTTATTTTTTTGACAGAAATTACACTAACCAGAAATTCATATATGTTAGTAATCAGATAATTTATAGAATTAAGTGAGCACAAAAGTGTGAAGTTTGAAATACTTACAGATGGTATAATTTGACATTTAAGCCCTTCATAGCCATTATCCAAAGCATTCATTGATTCATCATCCTCATGATCACAGAGCCAGAGGTCTTCATCCAATCTGCTATAATCACCCAATAATTGCCCAAATTGATTAATAACACCCAAATCCAACAATTGCCCAAATGAAACATGGGTATTGGGTATTGGATCAACCCCAATTTTCTCATTCCCAGAAATAGCAACACCCTTATTTTCAGGGGTAGCCATTATTAAAAATCAAAACTTTGATATAAAATCAGATGCAAAATGCTCACATAGAACTCTAATGGGGTTGATGAATGAAGGTTTTGGATTGCTCCTTAAATAATTAATTAGTTTATGGGTTTAGGGTATGGAAAAACAAGGTTTAGGACAATTTAGGAATGAATAATTATTTAGACAATTTGATTGATTTATTGGGGTAAAAGTATTATTCCTAATTTGCTGCATCACAAATCTGGTCAGATGCTTCCTCTCTAAATCGAGCAAAAACAATAATAAAATTCTGGTCTGTTTTTGTTCACTCCCGGTTTGTCCATAACTAACTTTTACGGACAATGGTGAATACTGGATTCTATTCATCATCCATTAGACTCATTTTAGTCATTTAGTAGACACATTATTTATTTATTTATTTTTAAAAGCCGACTAGCCGAGGGACAAGAATAACTATAGTTTATAGGCTATATGCTTTAGAAATAAATAGGATGATAAAATGTATCGCTACATATATGATAGGTGACGGCCTGAAGGGTGATAGATATTTTAGGAGAAAATAATCAATGACATAGGACGGCAAAAAGTATTACCACATGCATAATAGTACATAAAGTACTATTAAAACAACTTATACTTTAATGGTATATTATACATGCATATAAAATAGTACATAAAAATATACCACTGTAAAAAAAACATCAAATGAAAAAAAAAAAAAACCTCATAATACCATCCTATATGCATGTCTAACAAATAGGTGTTATGCGCCTATATGCACTCGAGGGACAAGCCCCAAAAGAAAACAAAGCTAGGAACTACAAGAAAGAAAAATCGAAAGCTGAAACAAACAAACAAGTAGAATCATCCTAGAATACGCCACTCCCCTCAAGTCGAAAGGCACGAAGATCTACCGAAACCGCCTCAAAGAGAACCAACTTTTGTTTCGAGAGAACGCCAAAATTAGCCAATCAATCAGTCGGCCTATTTGCTTCTTTGTAACATTGACCGATAGTGATTTCTCAACCATCTCTCAACCATCTCGCATGATTGAGGACTTGCACTTTCGGATTAAACGAATAAAAGGAGAGTTAGTTGGAGTAGGATCCACCAACAAACGAGCTACTACTTCCAAGTCAATATGAACTTGTACTTTATGATGCCCTCCATTCTAAGCTATCACCAACCGACAAAGTACAACCAACAACTCAGCACGAGTACAAGAGCAAACACCACAATTAAACGTATATGATTCATATAATTCCCCTCGATGGCCACGAATAAGCCCTCCTCCACCAACAGCTCCGGGGTTTCCTTTGATAGTCCCATCAGAATTAAGACGCTCCTATCCAGGTGGGGGAGCCATCCAGCATATATAGACTTCTTCATGTTTCCTCTTAGCTAGCTTGGAGATTATCCCTCGATCAAATGCTCTTCGAATCTCACCAACCCTTGCTTGGATAAAGCTAATTTGGTCAAGAGGAATTTCCACTTCTCAAGAGAAGCTTCTTGCATTTCACCATCTCCACAACCACCAACAAGAAACCACAAAGATGAGAGGCCAATCTTTAGTTTCTGGATTCTTATCATGGTCTAGATTAAACATCAACCAAGTCTTGAAATCAAACTAACCTTGTTGCCCTTGCAAACTAACTCCAAAGTTATGCCAAATGATCCTAGGTGTTGGACAAAACCAAAGTATATGGTCTATATTCTCCTCCACATGTCCACATATACAACATCGTGAGTCATGAGTAAGGTGTCTTAGAAATCTCGTAGCATTAGTCATCAATCTATCTTGAAAATCTAACAGAAGAAAAAACATATTCTTTGAGGGTCTTGAATATGCCATATTTTCTTTCAGTTCTTGTCTTGATCACTTTCTATGTCAAGGTCTTCATGCTTTATGATACACATAGCCAACTTTATAGAGAACCCACCAGATAGAGTACCCTTCCAATACACACTGTCTAACGCATCTTCTTTCTCTATTAACTTATAAGACTGCATATCTCTAAGAACATCAGCCAAAAGACAATCTGCAAACAACTAAAATTTCCACCCTCGATTAACATCCCACATGTCCTCCACCTTGAATTGTTAATTATTAATCGTAGGGTCAACAATAGCCAGCTTGATAAGAGGTTTCAGATTTACCTAGCTTTGCTTCCAAAAGCTTGTAGCCTTTTCATTGCTCACAGCCATCCAAATTCCCTTTTTTAGCTGACAAATTAGGGAAAAGAGAATAGAATAGCTTTTGTATTGCTTAATATTCATCAATAGGTTGAGTATTTATACAAAACCTATGCTCATAAGATAGGAAACAATCTTCCCAAAAGATATACCATATATCCCAATGTTATATTCACTAAATAATATCTTAACATATAATAAACCTAAATATATCATTCTACGGAAAATATATCACACATATATTTTCCGATATCTCTAATCTCTAACTTTAGCACATCCATATTGTTAGGATATATTAGAAATATTTGATATTATTGATTTGATTTGGTTAGGATATTTACTTGGCAAAGATAGGCTAGATAATATTCTAGGGATACTTGTCATATTTATCTTGTATTGCTCTATATATTTTGGCCAAGAGCCATGAATGAAGACAAGGCAAATATTCTTGATTGATATTTCACATGGTATCACAGCCAGAGTTTTTTTAACCTATAACCATGGTCGGTGAAACACCATCATTCAAAATTGAACCAAACTTCCCGTTTTTGGGTAATGCTATGGTTCCTGACAATCGTTTAATTGGTAAGTTTAATATCAAAAAGTGGATTATTAATACCGGCACAACACATCATGTTACCGGAGATGATACTTGGTTATTTGATGTAAACGAGATTATGCAATTTCCTATTGGTCTTCCCAACGGTGGAACGGTGCTTGCAAAGAAGGAAGGGTCGATTCGATTGCCGTCCTTAATCACTTTTAAAAACGTGTTATATGTTCCGCAATTGAGTTGCAATTTGCTTTCGGTTTCACAATTAATTGGAGATTTAAATTGTGATGTAAATTTTAATTCTTCTTTGTGTGCTATACAGGATCAAACGGGGATGCTGATTGGATCGGGTGTTCGGCAAGATAGACTTTATTACTTTGGAGAAGCTGACTCGGTTCAACATATTTCTGTGAATGATGCAACCTCTTCGTTGGAGCTATGGCACAAAAGGATGGGACATCCTTCCGAAAATGTAGTAAAGTTACTTGCCCCTGTAGTTGGTTTTAATGGTCATTTAAATAAAAATTGTGAGGTCTATTTCAAGGCTAAGCATCCCAGGGACAAGTTTCCGACTAGTGATAATAGAGCAAGTCGTATTTTTGAGAAGGTACATTGCGATTTGTGGGGTTCCTATAGACATCCTTCGTCTTGTGGAGCTCGTTATTTTTTAACTATAGTTGATTATTCTCGTGCCGTATGGGTTTATTTGTTGGATGATAAAACGGAAGTTTTCCGTACTTTTATGAGTTTTATTGCTATGGTTGATCGTCAATTTTCTCAAAATATAAAAATTGTGCAAAGTGATAACGGTACGGAATTTAATTGTTTACGTGAGATTGAACCTGCCCTAATAATAGGCCTCTACTTTATTCTGCTCGTATTCATGTGCGCTTTATGACTAACATGCAATCAATAGATTTAACCCTAAACCTGTTTAATCTATGTTGGTTGAATTTAATGCACAAATAAACTATTATTGGCGATCACTTGAATTTAAAATCACAATTAACCCTAAACAAGATTATTAATTATCTTATTAAGCGTGATTGCAAATACCAATTCCCTTTAACCTGCAATAAAAGGTGATCAAGTAATAACAATATATAATATATATCAAGCAACATAATAAATAATCATCATCAATCATAATCATAAATGTTAGAAAGAACATATGAAGCATCATATTTTTAATCACGCTTAATATTAAAAACACTCTAGACATGATACTAAGAATCATAATAATATAAACATGATGTCTACATCATAAAATCAATTAATCAATAAAGTACTTACTTGGATGTCTCGTACCTCTTTCTAATTACAAAATACACACGTTAGTAACTTCAAGGAAAATAACAAACAAAGCAATTAAATTAAATAATTGAAATAGAGATTTGGGACCAAACCCTCAGAAATTAAAACCTTTCACGTCTAGGGCGAAGACAACTTCGAATATGGCTAGGTGTATCAAGATCTTGTGAATGCGGAATTTTGTGTTAAAGAATAAAGTTTAGAAAGAACGAATGAAAGATTAATGATTCATAAACTAATTTGTTGACGATTGAAGATTGTAGATGATGAATGAAAACGGAATTTGTTAAAACTTAAGAATAAAAGAAGTGGTGAATGATAGATGATAATCCGTTCATCAAAACGGAGTTTTTGATACGATATTTATAGAGAAAATCAGCCAAAAAAAATAATTTATCAAAACAGAGTCTGAAGATCGCAAAAACAACTTGGCGCCAGCCCTGGCTCATTGGCGCCAAGACCAGTGGCTAGCGCCAGGCGCCAATGACTGGCGTCTGGCGCCAATCCTGGTTCCAGGCGCCAAGGCCTGGGGTTGGACGCCAAACCGGCTTTTAACACGTTTTCGAAAATCTGATAATTTTACCGTACTGGAAGATAAAATAATATAATTTAAGTCGAAAATGCTATTTGATCTAATTAAAACTCTAAAGAATCCTAATTGAATTAAGAATGATAAGAAACTTCTAGAATGTTCTAGAAGACCAAAACCATTCCTAATTACATTAGGAATGATAAATCATATTAGGCCCTCCCCTAGATCATTGGGCCGTATTTAAAACTCAAACCGGACCCAGTTTAGTAAATTGGCCATAAATTCCTCAATATTCATCGGAATTGGGCTTATAATATATCGTTGGAAAGGTCTTTGCAAGCCCCATCTAACTATACCACTATTGGACCCATATCATGCACCAACCAAACTGGATTGGCTGTTTTCTTAAAATAAAGTTTTCAAAAACAGAGAGAAGAGAAAAGAAAAGAAATAAAACTTTCCGCAACACTAGACCTTTCAACACTTTCGTTTCATTAGATTATGATTCGGCGTGAAAGGCACTCATCATTGGGTTTGGTTTAGGGGAGACACAAATGGGTGTCTACAGAAGCCCCCACTTTGACTGAGTTTGGAGAAACGCAAGTTTCGAAAACAAAAATCAAAGTAACGATAGGTACGGAGAATGATTCAGAACGTTCTGCGATCCTAAATCAATCTTATAACGCCGATACCTGCAAAACTAGCGTTAGTTAAACAGATAAAAGAGTTAAGAAACGTGTATCCTGCACCGTCGA